AAACAGAAACAGGAACAGGATATTACAAACTCTCGGTTAATTTGCTGTGTTAATTATCCAACCCAGTCTCAACACTGAGGAAAACGATTCATAGACAGAAGCAAGGCCCAGGCCAGTAGCCAGGATGTTGTGCGCATCGGTTTATCTGCCATACAGTACAGTGGTGGACTCCGGCTGTGTGAGGGGCAGGGGTGGAAATAATAAAAAATGGTACAAGCTGCAGGTGATGGGGCACCAGCACAGAAAGTCATAATGCATTTATGGTGGAACAGTTCCAAAACCCTGGTTAAGATCAAACGTGTTTTAACTACTACAGCTCTGTAATAAAAACACACAGAGGACTATTGATTATTTAACCATTCAGAGGCACGTAGAAGCAAACTCATTTTCTAGCATGTAGTGCAGTGTATATGGGACTGCATCATGTTTACTATACTTGAAGGGAAACCTAGAAGGCTGATATTATTTGTGCTGGCTTACTGGCAAGTTAAAATGGAACAAAGTCATATATAATGTCATTAGTTACACTGGTGCATTTCCTGCAAGCTATAGTGTAATCTAATCTAGTAATCCATAGTGTGGTGTATGTTCTCACCACCCTATCAGAAAGTAAAGTAAAGTAAAGACAGATGATATATCTGATACAATGTTGCAGTGTTGACATGAATAATTAAATGAAGGAATCCAGGAATAGCAGTTAGAAAAGATTTCCTTTATTGATCTCAAACAAATCAGATTCATAGTCCCTTTTCACAACAGACAATTTAATTTGTCACAGCGAGAAAAGCACAGGTGGAAGTAATAACCTTAACAATGTTGCAGTCCAGCACTTATTGCATTGCAACGCAGCAAATTATGTTAGATACACCCGTGTTTGACACGTAAATATAGCTGCTGTTAAAAATTTATATTTAACTTTAATTTTACCCCACATTTTATTCCATGGTCATGTGTAGTAAAACAGATATTGTGATGTTTAAGTTGTCTTCCGTTTTTTTGTGTTTCTTCTTTTTTGATCTCTTGGCTCTGGCTTTGTTTTTTCCATCATCCTCGTTTGCCTTAATGTGGTCTAATGCATCAGATTCCAGGTGCTGTGTCCAAGACCTCCTGCTACATCTCCTAGGAGGCAAGTTTATGTGAGTGTTTGTGATGCAGCATTTGAACGCCATCCAACCACGATCACATATGGGTTTTCAGCAGACCAGTGACAAACAAAACAATATGGCAGCAAAATAGAGCTCTGTTTGTGAGATTCTCATCTATAAAAGGACAAATTAGCATCCAAGAGGATAGGACTTTTGCCAATCCTCCCTCCATCTTAATTTGTAGTCCCCTTCCTCTCTTTTTGAACTGCATAAATGGCACAGAAGCACTTCCTAAAGCAATTTAATATAATGGCAGCAGCTTGCTGGCACAAATGGAGGAAAGTGAATCATCTTGTTAGCTTATCTTTCCCCCCCCACCAGCCTTCTGTGGCTCGGTAGCAGAGCGAGGGGGGGCTCTCAGCTGCCCCGCCAACCAAGCATCTGACACTGCAGCCGGCTGCCAGACTAATACAAGCCACACACACAACATACACACAGGCTTTTAAATACACTCTTCATACAATCATACACTGATGGAGAAATCTGCTCAGAGACACAAACAACCACCTAATTCATGAACAGAATGCATGAATCATATGTACGCAAAAACACCTGCAAAGACATTATTCAACTATGATCTGTAATTGGCAGAATACCCCATCAGCATGTTGTAAACAAGATAACATGAAGGAAACTTGTTTTGCTGGTCCCACAGGGACAGACCAACATGTTACGATTCATCTGTGGAAGGACAGGGAAGATTCTGGTTGTTTGGGGATGGCTCAGGACAAACACCTGTTAATCTGGAAGCACTCATTGTAATTACACACACAGTACACAGTACACTCTGTGCACTGTGTTCACAGTACACTCTGTGAAGATAGTGGACTATCCATTACAATTATGTGACCAGGCGGCTCTGCCCCCCCTTTATCTCTTGAAATCTTCAATTTATTTGTTTCTTTAATTTTTTTAGTTTGACTCTTCAGTTTAACTTCACAGTTCCTAGGAATTAATAAATCAATCCTGTATTGATAGAAGTAACATCACCTTATGTGTTTGGTTGGTCTGTCAAATTATCCATGTTAACTTTAAAATAATCAATGTAGAACATACATGGTGTTGGTTCAAAGCTAGGGCCAACATATGACTGAGCCTTATAGGTTGGTGGTGCCTCCTAGCCTCTCTGAAGAACTGTGTGATGATGTTGAGAGTAGAGAGACAGTCTTTATTCAGGAAATTTTGGTATAAGCCTTGTGTTCATAGACACGTCTACTGAAGTGTCCACAGGCAAGAGAGTTGATTTGTTAGACCTTCACATTTCTTGATGTTGTGCTCAGGTAGCCCTGTCGAAAGGAGTAATGAGAGAAAAGACTGACCCAGGGTCACTTTATAATGACACTCCACTAAATAAGAATTGATTAGCTAATTTAACAAATTTGCAATAAACACCGTCATAAAAGACATAATTTCATGATGAAACTGATATTGTTAGGTGGTTATGTAAGAACTTTTCAATCATTTCAGTGTGGCCTTAGAGATCTCCACAGGGTGTTGCCAAAGGGTAATTTGTTTGATTAGATTAAGGCACGAATCATACGGGATCAATAGCGGGAGAAATTAGGAATACTTCATTTCCGATTTCCGTGTGTGTGTGTTATGTAGATTGTAGCAAGTAGCAACTATTTTTTCAAACCCAGTATTTCCACGGTTGCAACTGAGTTGAGTAGACTGTAGTGTTATCAATTAAAAAGGCATTAGAATATGCAATCACTTTAAAGAACTGTGGATCAATTTCTCTGGGATCAAATAGAAACCTCTCATGCATAATATAAGCAAACAAAGTAATTTTACACAATTGGTATTCTTTTAGTATGAAACATGACCTAAACTACTAATATATCTTAACCAAAAAAAGATTTGTTTGGGCATTTTGATCGGCACATTCAATCTGTGAAACTGTTACCTGCCAAACAATGCTATTTGCTTGGTGGGAATGCCATCTTGTGGTTATTCTCTATTCTACCCGGCTGATCTGCCTTAGTGATGTTGGACATATGATGCAATATTACCAGTAATATATATATATATATATATATATATATATATATAATAACAGCTTAATATTACCAGTAAACTAGCACAGTCTTGGCATTCATTACCATGTGCATTTTTGTATGAGAAAATAGGTATATGTAGAACAGCCTCTTGCCAACAGCTCATGGTAGGCTACAGATGGATCAATACATGGCACTCACTTGTAAAAAGGATATGTCGCTACTAGAGAACGTATTGGTAAAACATCAGACACTGTGTATGTTATGTATACAGTATGGCCTATTACCTTAAGAGATACAGTTTATTTTGTAGGATTCTCTAAAAAAAGTCCTACCTCACTGTACCAGAGAGGTTCACTGAAATATTTCCAGTTCTTCATGATTGCCATTTTGCTACAATTTGGTGATATGTTGTGATTTATTTTTTCTTTTACACATCCAAAATAAATCAGTCAATCATTCAGTTGTTTATGAATAACCATTTTGTTTTATATATGATCGTGTCATAATAATGCCTTTGCTATCATTTCTTACTAATATTATGATGAAGTTCATCTGTAGCGTGATTAGTTAAATCATTTTTCTATTTCCTCTGTCTTAGGTTTAATATACTCCTTAGTTAGTATAGTTGGTCACATGAGGTCTTTAACCTAAAGTCAACACCCAAGGAGGACGTTTGCCACATGACTTCTGAGGTCTGTCACATCTTTATCTTTGTTTTGTTATGTAACCCTGATTGATCTTATGATCAAAAAAGGGGAAATGCAAAGGGAAAATTTCCCTTCTTTACGCAGAACTCTCTTCACAGTGATCTTGCTGTTTGTTATCCTCGCCCTTTGACTCATCAACATCCTCCCTGCATTCAACAGAAACACAGCCTGCTCTTTTATGAGCCCTAATTAAACCCATTCTTTAATGAATAAACAGAACTCGGTCCATTTTAATGTCAAACTATTTATAATTTCCTCAACATGTTGTGCTGCGTAACACTGATGTAATTTCTATTGCTTCAACCTGCAGCATCAATCATGTATTGCTTATTTCAACTTCATGCAGTGGTTGAAGTAGTATTCATATCCTTTACTTAAATAAAATTAGCAATATCCCACTGTGAAAATACTCCACTGCAAGTAAAAGTCCTGCATTACTTTATTTAAGTAAAGTATTATCAGCTAAATATACTTACTTTACAGCTAAAAGTACGTAAGTATCAGGTTTTTTTTTACCATGATCATAGTTCTGTATTACTACTACTGCATTCATGTATATGTTGCATTTTACTGCTGTGGTTACTTAAGGTTGTGCTAATTTTAACTACTTTCTTTTGGGTAGTTTAATCATCAGAAATGAAACATATTCTATAAGATCATCATGTCACTGACCTGTGAGAACCACATTAAATCTAAAAAGTCAACTGGTCATGAGCTGAGAAAACTTTGCGACAATTTGAATTAGTTTATTTAACCTAAGAAGTAGGAGAGTTTCTCGACCCATGAAGGATCACTTAATCCTTCAGTTTATTGGGAAAATTCATCATCAAATTAAAGCAGTATCCTACATGGTTTTGGTATGACATGTAATCTGAAAAGTATCCTAACTACTAACTAAAGGCAAATGTAGTGGAGTAAAAAGTCCAATACTTCCCTATAAAATGCAGTGAAGTATCTCAAAATTATACTTAAACACAGTACTTGAGTAATTATACTTACATCCCACGACTTTATTGCAATAAAAAGAACTGACACAGTTATTATTGGTAGTTGCATTATCAGTAGTGGCAGTCGTAACAGTGACCAGATTTGCGTCCTCAGCACTTCCTTTGGGGGGGGCGGGGGCACCTGACTGCGAGCAGCCGGGTGGGGGGGGCGGAGTTTGACGGGCAGTTCCTGTCCTGGATCTGCAGCCTGATTTGTAGTTAACCCGGACCGTGCCGCATAGTGGTGGGGTGAAGGTTTGTAATGTCAATACGATACCAAAACCTTCTAACCCGATAACATAAAATCTGATAAGTGTATAAGCGTGTATTGTTCATGTAACGCCGCTCGTCCAAAAAAAAAAATCTTAAGTTTTGTGAGCTTGTTGAAAACGCTAGCTAGCTGTTAGCCAACTTAAGCTAGCGCCGTCCAGTAAAGTTAGCTGCTGTTGTCGAAATGATGCTCGTAGCAAGTTGGATGACATTCATTCGTACCTCGATGAAAGGGGGATTTCTCATTAAAGCGAGGGGCTGACCTGATTTAAATCACTTAAATGAGTCGCCTGATGCAACCCTAGCTAGCTGTAACTACTAATTACTAGTTATTCTTTGAGACTTATGGTAAACGCCAGAAGGCCCTGTGTTGTGCTGCTTTTTGTTTGGCTGTGTTCGTGTAGTTGAAGCTCGGATGTTGTTCCTTTCCTATGTAAACCAAGCCAGCCCCTGCCAGACTGTATCAGCTTTCACTCTCACATTGCCTTATCTCCCTCTCAGAGTAAACGAGGTCAAAGGCTTAAAGCAGCTGAATTTAAGGCATCTTTCCTTTGACCATCATCATCATCATCATCATCTCAGGGACAACAGCTACAGTGAATAGGAGTGGGGTGATATCAGCTGCCCTCTTTCCTGATTAGACATCTGCTGCTTCTTGGGGTAAGTGTTAATAGATGCTATAATTGAATATAGTCTAATTGTCTGTGTGTCATTCCTGGTTAGAAGCACAGAATTACCTTCGCAGCCTTAATTTGATGAATTGTAATGACTGCAATTTACTGTGATTGTGTTTGGTCTACATTATGTTCGGTGGCTTTTCTCCCTGACTCCCAACAGGTTGTAATTAATAATGTAATGCAATTTGCTGTACTGTATAGTATATATGTTGCTGCTGTGTGTTATTGTTTTAGTGTATAACACCTGTGTAGTTGTACGGACCTCTAGAAGCACAGGGAACGCTGCAGCCTGACACCCTTGTTTATTCTGAAAAGAGTTATGCAATCTTGGTTCAAGTAACACTTTTAGTAACTAGCATAGGTCATAGTAATGACTCAAGATACACTCTTACACAAGTTAGTCTTATATATGTCTTGATCAAAACTGTAAACAACATACTTAAAGGTTTTAAATAAAATAAATACAAATAAATGCATAATTGCTTTTGGAGATTCGGTAACATATATGCAATGTGATTGAACATAAATATGACTTATGCTGTATCATTTAAATGTAAATATGATGTTACTTTGACAGCAACACACCACTAATGTCAGCAGAGAAGATGGAGACATCAGCGAGTGTGTCCAATGGAGAAAAGCCTGTGTATGAGGAAAAAGAAGACACCCTCAGGTACATCTCCCAGGAATATTGTAACAGCATTCTCTGGAAAACAGTAATGTAGGATTACAACATGATCGCATTATATGTCCTATATTTCTCTTTTCCTTCCCCAGTCCTGAGGATCTGTCTGAGATGCTCGCAGCAGGGACCAAGGAGGTTCATGAAAAGGCTGAAAACACCCAGTTTGTGAAAGATTTCCTCAGGGGACGCATCCGCAAAGAGCTCTTTAAGGTTAGCCTGAAGAAGATTTTTACAGTGTAATGTTATAAAGTGCTTTACTAAACAAACAAGATGAGGAAATAAGAAAACATGTAGATAAAAAGCAAAAACAACTGGAAAAAGGAAAAAGCCAAATTAATTATTATGCAGAAACTTTGTAACTTTTCTTTTTTGCTTTTCCAGCTTGGTGCTGTGGCACTCTACTATACTTATACAGCCATGGAGGAGGAGATTGAAAGGAACAAAGACCACCCCCACTTTGCCCCTCTGTATTTCCCAGTAGAGCTGCACCGCCACGAGGCCCTGGCCCGTGATCTTGAGTATTTTTACGGCGCTGACTGGCAGAGCCAGGTCAGCTGCTCCCAGGCCACCCAACGCTATGTGGACCGTATTCATCAAGTAGGGCAGGAGGACCCAGTGCTGCTGGTGTCCCATGCCTACACCCGCTACATGGGGGATCTGTCTGGGGGCCAGGTGCTGAAGAAGGTGGCACAGAGAGCCATGAAGTTGCCGCCAACAGGGGAGGGCCTGGAATTCTATCAATTTGATGCCATCCATAGTGCCAAAGCATTCAAGCAGCTGTACCGCAGCCGGATGAACGAGCTGGAACTGGACACGGCAATAAAGAAGAGGCTGGTTGACGAGGCTGTCAAGGCCTTCCAGTTCAACATGGAGGTAAGAGGCCAGGGAGGAGGAATGAAGGTTGAAGGAATAGAGAGAAGAAGAAACGCAAGCTATGTTTGGAAACACTGGTGGGCGATCTGTTCCCTGGTGGTGAAGGTGAAGCGGATAAATTAAGATTCTCTTACAGTGGAGGTGTGCTTCTTTTCATTTAGTGAATTTTTGAGACAAATTGAAGATATTATGTTTATTATTGAAGGTACTGTCATCATTTAATGTTATCCTAATGACACGCATGCATTTTGATTGAGACTTCAATGTGAGCCTTTTCCTGTAAGCTCACCAAAAAATTCATAAACATACAAAATGATGAAAATGAAGCAAAAATGTAAGAGGCTGTGTTAGGTTAACTGTTGTGGATAGAAGATAGATTTACCTGGGTTATAATATGATGTTGTATATTGTTAGACAATAGGTATTTGTCTACAGTCAGAGATATTGCCCTTTATACTATTGTAACTATCCCTTTAATATTTCTAGTTGTATTAGGCCCTTCTGGGCAATATTGTACTTCCTTAATCAGGTTATTTTATCCATAAACAAACATTTGATAACCTAACATACTGCATGTTTCCACTGGCAGGTGTTCGAGGAGCTGGAAGAGATCGGTAAAACCATCCAGGAGGAGGTTTTAGATGCTGGCATGCCGGTCCATGGAGCAATGGGTGGAGACATCAGCAAGTGTCCCTACTATACTGCCAAAATGGGTATGTATACATGGTATAATCTTCTCCCTATAATCGTGCCACTGTAAGTAATATATAAATGACATTAAAACCATGACAAAGCTTTTTTTAAAAAACTATCTAGGATCTTGTTTAAGATTGTTTGTTTTTCTGCTTTTTGTGCTCTGTCTGTGTCACAGCGGCGTCGGGTGGAACAGCGTACGCCTGTCAGCTCGCCATGGCCATACTGCGGCACCCAACAGGACAGGTCCTGTGTGCTACTTGGTTTGCCGCTCTGGCTGGATTGGCTGCGTGGTATCTGATGTGATCCAGCCGTCGCCCTGAAACTGCTGCTGCTGCTGCTGTGAGAGAGAGAGAGAGGACCTAGAAGAAAGGACCGTAAGGAGACTAGAAAATTCCCTCCAACTGTGGACCATTTCATAGTCTCATACAAACATTCTACATGTTAATTCATGATACATGTTCGCTAATAAGGTTAGCTAACAGGAAATAAACGTGGAACTGTTCTATAGGAGCATTTCGGACATGAACTCCATCCAACCATCCATCCATCCATCCATCCATCCATCCATCAATCAACACCTCTTAACAATTTCTCCTCCTGCCTTTTTGTTTCACTACCTCCTTTACACTGTCCCGCCATCCTGTGTCCCATCTTGTAGTATTTATGGCAGTATTTCAAGACTTTCTCTAGCTGTTTTCTGATGTTGTCATTGAATCACACAGCGTGAATAGCGGATTTGTTGTGAAAATACATTTTCTCCCAATTTGAAATGAAACTGCCTGATTGACGGGGGGCCTGGTGACTTCAAGATGCTGCCAATACATAAACTCCAATTGGTTATACACTGGTAAATTAGTTAATAATGATGAACGGATTAACAAAACGTATTCATGGCGAGCTAAAACGTATTACGCGTGTTATGCATGAGTAAAATTGCACAGTAGGTTTTTGCTGGGCAGACTGCTGTGTTGATTTTTAATGAGGCCTTTGTGTTTTTGCTTTAAAAAAAAGTCTTTATTTGACCAGGGACAGGAAGTAAAGTATGAGTTGATAATGCAGTGGTGAAACAGTGGTTTATTTGCAAGTGTAAACTTAGGAAATATCTGAATTTAATGTTGTTGTTTTTACCTCTTCACATAGATTGCAGTTCCAAACATAATGTGAAAACACAGTGCACCGCAATTATGATCTTTTTAATATACGTTATCACATCTCATGATCAAAACGAGGCCTCAGATGTCTCCAAATGTACCCTGACAGGTGATAGGAGTTTGAAGCTTTTTCAAAATATAGCACACCTACACTTTGACAAGTGTATGATTAATAAACATCTGTCAGATACTAGTGAATATAGTGAATATACCAGATATTTGAATCTCTACTGATGCATGTTCAGATGTATTATTCCTCTGTTTCTGAATAATGCGATAGAGCTTATATTTAAAAAAAAAACAACTGCCTGTTGATTTAAATGCAAAGTATCGATCCAAGAAGAATGACTAATTGATGAGTCAGTTTTACCTGCCACAGGAGCCTATATTAGGACAAAGGTGTTACCAGAGGTTTTAAAAGGAAATTGTCTTTTTATAATATTAATGGTTAGTCTAAATGAGTCTGAGTATTGTGGTTCATTCTGAGCTACTTTAGGTTAGGTACTTATAGTTAGGTCCTTCAGCAGCACAACTCTTGTTTATGTATCCATTTGTTATGGATATGCCACTACACATCATCACTAAAACTGTGTAACATTATTCATATGCTGTTCATACTGTATGTTGGGAATAACTTTCCCCACATCTCAGTTTTTTTCAACATAGCTAAGGAAGAAAAATTTGTGATGTGTGTACCATATGCAGTGTAATTGCCCTACTCATTGATTAAAGTTTAATATTTTTCTTGACAGTTATTACATTTTTATTATGACTTTGCTTTATCTTTCCAAGCAGTGTGTGTGTTTTTTCCCCCCCTCTGCTTGGATTTGTTGGAAACAAAGTACCAAAGGACACCTGCCCATAATGAGTTTGGACCAGGTTCCTGTACTGTTTGTATTTGCACACATTCACATGGATGTACAGTATTCCTTCATTAACACAACTCTTTCAGGATAACCGCTGTAGTGCAGCTCTACGATCACAGACACGTCAACCTGTGTGATGATGTGTTTTGTGTTTGAGAGTCTCAGGTTCATGTTGCAGTCAGATGGCGATACAGATGCATTGCATATGTAGGACTAATACAGAGACTGAACTCCTATAGTTTAATGTCCATGTGCTATTTAATTCTGTTGATGCCACTGTCAAAATGCTACACTATTTTTGGACAACCTGAAGGGATGTTTACTTGAATCTCAGGAGTTGAGGGAGTTTTGGTCGTCGATTTAAACCTTGGATTAAAGTGAGCGGGATGCATGATTTTGAATTCTCTTGTGTTTTCATTTACTCTGCTCGTAATCCCTCTGTGTAACTAACTGGACAAAGCTTTATTAGTGACTGGCTAGAATACTCTCATTGAATGAGAGTGAAGATCCAGGAGTATTTTGTGCTGTCTATAAATAAATAAATTGTTTTATCGCTCATGCTGAAATGAAGGTGATTCATTTGGACTGGTGTTTTTAATCACAATAAAAACCTATATAGAGGATCATCTTTAATGCATTCTTTATTTTTTATTAGTTTAAAATCTGCGAGCAAAGGGAGTACTGAAGATGGTTCAAACAAATATATCGAATCTCTTCCATCTCCTAATAGATTAATCTATTAAGCATTTAGACTTGTCAGAATAGATGTCATGGCGTAACATTTTGTACAGACATCCATGGTCCACAGAGGATGGATCCTACTGAATTTGGTGATCTAATTAGCAAACGTTAGCTTTCTAACATGCTAAAGTTATACCTTCTAGCCAATCATTAGCATATAAGCATTGTTACTGTGAGCATTTAGCTCTAAAGCACCTCTGTGTAAGTACAGTCCCAGTCTCACAGGGCTGTATGTTCACAAAACATCACTTTGATAATGCGAACAGAGTCACTTTAAAGTAAAAATGCAGGCTAGTTTTAAGTGTAAGTGGTGTTTCTGGATTGCATTATATTGTATCTAAATGAGGGTGAATAAAATGTGTATGAATATTTAAATTTATGAATGTATTGATGGAGTCAAAAGCATTCTGAGTGTGATTTCTTTAGTGATTTATATAAAACAGAGGCTTTTCCCAGATCATAGCTTTATTATAGATGCACAGTATATCTCTATGTGACACATTGATTCAACTGTATGATCTACTATGTACAAATGTAATGAAGGTGCAGAGCTCGAATTCATAATGCATAGGGTTAAAAGAAAGACAAGAGTCCGCTAATCAGTGCTCACGGTTCAGAAAAACCTGAGCCAAACTTTTAACTTTCCACAGGTTAGTCCTCAAATCAGAGACAGGAGACTATCCACTGCTGACACACGCATATATACACAACTCAAAAGGTAAACATGTAGTTAGCCTAGTGGTGTTCAACCTGTTGGGACTGAAAATGGTTAAGAATTGTTGGGGAAATGTCACACATTCATGAAAACACATCTGCAGCATAATGAACGAAAGGATTAATAACAGGAGGTTCATTTAATCCCAAATAAAACTTTCACTGTATCTGTAGTCTTTGTCAACACAATAATTTATTTCTGTGCACACAGATTCTGTTATCACCATCATGTTTTTCTAATGCCGATCAACAGAAAACCAAGACGCGCCGACTGCTTTGATAAATGACCAAGTCTTTGCTGCCCAAATGGCCTCGACAGACATTTGACAGGGTGCGCTGGAAAATCCTTGTTTGTGGATTCACTTTGGCAGAGGAACAGAGGAGGTAATCCTCTGCCTTATTCGCTGCAGGGCTGGGTAGGTAGGTCCATACTGATCTGTCCAGAACCTTTTCGTGGGCCTCATCCAACTCCCAAGTACTCCTCAACCACCTGTCTCTTTATAACGTGGCTGTTCTCGCTTTACGCCGTCCTCCCTTCTGCCCTCGGATCTACTGACGAAGCTTCTCAGTTCCAGGATGACCTTTTACCTTTAAGAAGGAAAAAGATAAATGGGACTCTTGGTAAATTGAAACGACAGCATATAAAAAGATACAGACCGCACTTTCAGAAATCCCCAGACTGGCTAAGACATCCAGATAAATGCAGGGGTGCACGTGTCCGTGTTTTTAATGAGACAGCCACAAACCAGATAATTTAAAAATTATCTTAAAAAAATGAAGCGTTGCAATATACATCACAGGACAGAAAAAAAAAGTGGGGTGGGAGAGAAACTAATCCTACCTGGTTTGTGGCTGTCAGGAAGAACTAAACATTTTCTTTAATTTGGAGAAGAAGCCCCCCTCTTGTTTCATTTCTCCTTCCTTCTTGTCATGACTGCTTTGCCCTGCCTCAGGTGGCTTACCACTGCTGCCCCCACCTGGACAGAGATCAACACTGCATCAGCCGGGCTAAATTAATCCTAAAAAGAACTTCCTTCCCTAAAAACCCCATTTCAAGAAAAACAACAGGACTACAGGGACGGGTAGGTGAGGGAAAAAAGTAAGAATGTCTGACCGATTGTCTTCTTACCTGTGGTGGTGGCAGTGACGCCATTCACCGTCCCCTCCACTTCGGTCTCGTCCTCAGCGTAGCTCATGAGCAGAGATTTTTGTCTGTCGGTCAGTGTCCTACACAGGAAAACATCGTCTTATGACCTTTGTGATTGGGAAAACAGCTTTTAACCCCTTTTCTTTAGACCATAACGAGTCATTGTATTCGATCACAAGGCCCTCTCATGGCCCCGTCTGGTATACGTGCAACAGTTAAGAGTTTGTACTGAGGCAAATAGATGAACAAGGGGTGGGAGTGGAGTCTTACTTGGGTACTTTTATTTTGACATGGACATAATGGTCTCCGAAGCCATAGCCACTGACACGAGCAATTCCCTTCCCTGACAGATGAATCCTGTGGTCTGTCTGGACGCCAGCAGGGATCTGCAGACAAGGACAATCCAGTTATCCGTTACATCGTAGGTGTTTCAAATGTTTCCCTATTAGAGGAGAACCCTGAGAATGTATGTGCCTACTTACCGATAAGTTAAGTATTTCATAAAGGCCCTGTGTACGGGCCGTGCCGCCCAGGATAGCTTGTGCCACGGACACAAAAAGGTCAGAGTGGATGTCCGCTCCGTCTCTCCTGAACACAGGACTTTTTTGGACCTGGACATGAACCCAGAGCACATCACGATCAACCACACATGGTATCAAAAACATCATGATCGCTCACAAAATGTAGCGCAGCACAGCTTGTTCGTATTGGGTTCAATAGAAGTAAATGAGCTCAGACAGCTCAATGCATCTTACCAGTCCACACAGCTTCAAACTGCAAGACAATCCTATTATAGCGTCTCTGAGGTGAACTTCATTAGGGAGCTGGTTTGTTTCTGGGTTGCTCGTGAGATCAGTACTGATATTAAGGAGTAGATACTCACCCTAAATGTGATGAAGATCTCCTTCTTACCAACCGGCATTCTGACGGTCTGGCCATCCTCCACTCCTTAAAGCAAACACACGGTCTACGTTAAAGTTAAGTGTAAAAATCTGTCTTTTCAGTATTAATCCTTAAAGACTTTTTAGGCTTGAAAAGTAGACAGAAGCATAGTCTGAATTTTGGGTGGATGATAAATTTAAGGATAGGAAATTTACTTTCCTTATTACCATTATGATTTATGAGCCTAAACCCACAGATTTAACTACGGTCAAGGCTCAAACTATTTAATTTGGATTCTTTTATTATTAAGGATATTTAGGAATAAATAAGCAAAAAGCAACTAAAAATTCAAGGCAAAAACTTTTAATAAAACTACAGCTACAATGATTGTGGATTTAACAAATAATTACAGAAACGTACTACAGTCATTTCATCCAAGTTATGAATTGTGTTCAACAGTGTAGCAGCACTTTCAAGCATCTCTTCTGGATTTGCAGACAATAAAAGTCTACAACGTCTAGTGAGTTGGAAAAATCAGCGGAGAAGACAGTAGTTGTGTGTTAGTGAGGCTAAAAGGTCACTCAGTTGCAATAAAATGTCCTTGGGGTATTCACAATAAGTAAACCGTACACCTGACAGTTTAGTGAGACTAACCTGCAGGCACGGGAACCATCACAGTCTTCTTCTGCTTGGTCTGTCCCCTCCCACGGCAGGAGTGACAGGGGTTGGACATGACTGTGCCTTTGCCACCGCAGTGTCGACATGTGGAGCGCATCACAAATGGGCCCGTGTTCACCGTCTCCTACAGGGAGGACAATACGTGTGTGTGTGTGTGAGAAGTAATACGACACAGACACGCTTTGAAGAGAGGCGGCATGTTGGAGTTCTTACCATGCCGGAGCCGTTGCAGAAGTGGCAGTGCTGGACCTTGGTGCCTGGTTCATGGCCTCGACCATCACAGCGCTGGCAGGCTGCTTCTATGTTAACAGACATCTCTTTGTTGACTCCTTTTGCTGCCTGGGTGAACGTCAGCTCCATGAAGTACTGTGTCCAAAAAAAAATAAAAAAACAGAGGGTGCCACAAATTCATCACTCTGAACGTGCACCACTGGCTTTCTTTTCACTCCTGTTGTACAGTGTCCCACTAACCTCCTGTGGCTGATCAAATATGGCATTGAAGTCTCCAAAGCCACGGCCTCCGGAGAATTCCCCAAAAATCTTGCGGAAGAGCTCCTCTGGGTCTATGTTGCTGGTCTGTCCGGTCCAGTACTGCTGCCCTCCACCGCCCTGACCCGCATCGAAGCCGGTTGAGCCGTACGTATCGTACTGCTTCCTCTTACCTTCATCACTCAGGACCTGAGAGCAACATGGACAAACGTGCAAAGTTTAAGAGGGTGTTGTTAAAACTTATAGATTTTAAACAGAAAACACATGAGGGAGAATACACAGTAGATGTGTCAAATGAAAGCTTGAATAAAAACCTCATAAGCTTCAGCCAGCTGAGCAAACTTTTCCTTGGCTTGTGGGTCATCTTTGTTGGTGTCAGGGTGATACTTCTTGGCCATCTGAGGGACAACAAACACAAACACGCTGTCAGCTACGGAGACTATTGATTATGCAAGAGCCAATACAGTCTGGGAACGTATGTCGGGCAGGAGCAGACCTGGTAGTAGGCTTTCTTGATCTCTTTCTGGGTCGCTGTGCGAGGTACGCCAAGGATATGGTAGAAATCCTCCTTGTTGCATGGAGCACTTGTGTGAAAGGATAGTGCGTAGACGGCATGGGGAGATTTTATACCTGAAGAGAGTCAAAACGGGGTGAAAGAGTAAGTAAACACTGTTTAGAAGAGTAGAGCTGCATGAAAGCTGCACTCAAGTCTCACTTCACTACTGACTGCACAGCCTTGCCACCGTCTAACAGCTAAAATGATCTCCTTTTGCATGTCTGCATCTTTTTTTCATCTGCTGCTGCAGTAAAATCAGAGGACAGACATCTGCAAAGGCCAGTACAGCAAACATCTGGTTAACTTGACCTGTAAGAAGATTCTAGAAACAGCCTTTAAGGTTAGGCGTCACACAGAGACGGCTGGCTGGGTTCAGGGCTAAAGTAAGGGGGTGAAACATCATGTCACACAATCTAATGGGTGGTAGAATATGATGTAACACTGGGATCACCAGTGAGATTCAACTTGGCGACTGCAAAACCGAAGTTAGCCAAACTGATTACATCACATGCATGACTATCTTTGTTTAGATAAAAGCAAGCTCGTCTGCAACACACGCTCACCTTATCTTCTCGAACGAGCCATTACTAAGCTAATTCAGATGTCTTATTCTGCGTCACTTAGGTAAACCAGACATTACAGCAACTTCAGACTAGCTTAGCTTAGCCTAGCCTAGGCCAATACCATATGGCTAACACAGCACTTACCTGACAGCCCTCTCAATGTCAACGCTTTCCTCGATCCTCCACACGCCAGGTGTCCTCCCCGCCACAGGTGTTCCGCTCCCAGGGTGGAGATACTGCGGACCCCTCCATGGCCAGCGCAGACAACGGCACCGGCGGCCCTGCGACGTCCAGAGGACACGATGACCGTAATCCAGCGTGAGGAGCAGCGAGCAGCCGAGGACGCCATCATTCCTTCTCTTGACGCCGCTCACGACACACTGCGCATGTGCGGGATGGAGTGGGCGTCACCGAAGAGCGCAAAGAGTCAATACGAGTGTCAGTTTGAGTCAAGATGATGCTCTGTCATTAAAAACGAGTTACAGAACTTTATCTTAAATCTTACTGTTTTTTACTTTAAATTACTCTACAAGTGGCTACGGCAGATAACAACCAGGACTGGCCAGAAGTATATAAACATTGTAAGTTTCTATTGTGCAAAAAAAAAGCATCTCAAGTGTCAAGTCAAATAAAGGATGCACATGTTTTATGACCCGGGGGAGCATATGACAGTGCCGGTTGTTCTCTAGTGTTTGAAAAGGAACACTCCGCCCGATCGGCCAGCTCCGTGGAGCAAAGCGAGCGGACACCGCGCGTCCAACCTGAACTGTCAGCTGTAAGCAGGAGTCCTCTGCCGAGTACCAAGCAGCTCGACAGAAGACACCCGGAAGGCACGAAAGTAAATTTGAAAGGGCAGCATGAATCGCTTTAAGACCTCCAAATTCAAAAACACCACTCCGAAAATTGCCAAGAAAGATGTGAGTAGCTCGCGAGCGCCTGCTTTTTCCCTAGCTAACAGTAGCATTGGTTATTAGCTGTGCTACTTAAGTGGTGTTTTGGGGAACGCCTGCCTGCCTGCAAGGGATGTTCAACTTCCTGCATCTGGAGGACTGCATAGTATTGAGGGGACTGCACGAACATCTGAATCCGCGCTCTAGTATTCACACGAACTATTTGCTACGAGTGAAAACTAGTGAGCCATGTGGCTGCATAGAGCTGCTAGCCCTCATCGGACCGAGTACTGACGCCCATCACCGTGCTGTTATTTTATAGCTAGCTGAGTTTCCCCATTGCTTTTTCAGTGATGATGTGGTATTACACAAGTTGTGACTGCACACTTGGACTTAGGTTGGATCTGCACAGATTTTCTGTGTGAGCCAAAGGGGAAGAAATTTGAATGGAAAATGCAATAAGTGATATCACTATCAGGTTGACTGTCTTTTCTTTAGTGATAGTTGACCCGTAGACTGTAAGAGGCGACATGTCTGGACTTCAACTGGAGAGGTTTGCATATAAATCTGCCATTTTTCTCGTCCCCTGGACCCATTAGTTTCAGGTTGCAATGCCTGCAGCTCTCCTTGCTGAGGTGGATTATGTAATCTCCTACCTTGTTTTTACTGAGGCAGGAAAATGCCTGGCATGCACGGGGAGACAGTGGATAGGGTGTTTGTATCTCTCCAATCTCAGCACAAGATCTGAGACAGCAGGTGGTGCTTTGCTACTGTGATATGTTAAACTGTAGCCCTTCACACAGCAGACCAGTGGATGTGTGTGGCTGTGGCTATACCAGTGCTGAAGTCATGTGACAGGAGCTGTCATGTCAAACATTGTAGAAAATAGGGCAAGGAAAGCAAAGATGAGTGGGAGTTTTTTTTTTTTTTTAGTTTGGGAATTAATTTAGTCAGTTTATATTTGGCTGGCACTAAGTTGTGCCCTACTGTCCCCTGAATACATTTTTTTGTGCTTTCTAAACATTGGCCTGTGGATGGATTCACAACATAAAGTAACAACAGTCTGATGCTTAAACCATATAACAGATCTTGTACGTGCAAATGGTTTTATTAAGGAAAGACAAGCCTTTTATAATATAAGAAGTGTCCTTAATATTATCCATGCAGGGAAGGATGCTCCAGATACTGCCATTCTGTCTCTGTGTAGGTACCTCCTATGTAGGTAGAGGTTAAACACACAGTGTGGGTTTAAGCTTCTATCACACCACTGACACATTTGCCTTTGTTGTCTGCCTGCCTTTTTGACATGATACACACACAGAATATATGTAATCCTGTTAAGATAGATGCGTGCTTTTGAAGGTTGCTTGGAAATGCATGTGTGCATAAACAGAGCAGTATCACATCCTTCCTCAGCAGAGCTGTTCAGGCTGTAAAATGCCCTCTGTAGCCAAACTCCTGCCATATTGGAGCCGGTTGTACAGAGGCTCTGTCCTCTTGCCTCGTTAATGTTATGAAAGAGTTTTTAAGAGCGCTCTGCTGTGCAACGCAGGGAGCGCTTCCACTTCCTCAACACTTCGCTCAGTCAGAGGGACTTGGGTGTGTGTGTGCGTGCGTGAGTGCGCTCTCAGCTAGATTCTTCCTGTTTATTTCGGTATTCACTTTATTTTGTTGCAGCTGTGACAGCAACTTGGTCGTGTGCGTGTGTGTGTGTATGAGCTCCTTAGTATCATGAAACAGATAAAGTCTTTCTGTTGGGATTCTTCAGTGTAGCTTGTTGGCTGTGCTCTTGTGTAGACATGTCAAGTGAAAACTTAGGATTCTAGTCGTTTGTAAAGTCCCAATGCACCGTTGAAACACTGAATGACATTTCTTTTCTTCCCTCTGTTACTTTGGCTGACTCCAGTTTGCATTATCATTATCATCTTGTTTCATCCATTATGCTCTTTATGTCTTTAAATCCAGGAATGGATCAACATTGTCCGAGCTGGTTCCTTCTCCTGCCAGGGGAACCACATCAAAGCCAGCTCCAAGTTGGTGGCGTTCAATACCGAACAGGCTGGTAAGCCTATAAAAGTGTGGTCAACAGTAATGTTTGATTCATGCAGACAGAAGGAGCCACTGTATTTAGTTTCAGCCATGTTTGAATCAAGTTAACATAAAAAGGATTTCCTAGGTAAAAGACAGTGTGTTTGTTTTTCATCCACAGGTGGAGGTATGCTGGGACTGTCCTCAGTCAAACCTGGATCAGATGGTCAATGGACAGTCACTCAGATTTCATGCCATTCTGGTAGTTTATCTTCATCCTTTTGTCAGCACATCACAGTTCTCTTCTTTCCCTCCCTCTGCATAACTGCCACCACTACAATCCTCAAGGACATTCTGGTCTCTTTAAACAAATAATAGAAAAAACTAATAAGATTAGAAATGCAAATGCCTTTGCTCAGACATGAAATGAAGCTGTGACCCTAATTTAAATTTTATTTTCCCTTTGTTTTCCCTCTCCTCTGTCAGATCTGGTGACCGATATGGACTTTTCTCCTTTTGATGACAGTCTCCTGGCAACATGCTCTGCAGATGAAACGGTGAGCTCCTTGATGCTCTCCTTTCCATCCTGCGTTTGTTCCTTCTTTCCTCTTTTTATTGATCTTGTTCTTTCTTGTTGGTGAATACTTACACATAAGTCCACTCTCCATCCTCTCAGGCTTTGTTGTTCCTGGCAGGGCTTTGAATACGATACGAAGCTGCTTAGGTTTTTGTAATTTAAACCTTTTGAAGACTCCCTCCTCTCAGCACATTATCCTCAGCCACAGGTGCCCTAGCTTACTGGAATCTGCTGAGTGTGGGTCTGCATCTTCAGACTCAGCAGCTCGGTTTACCTCAGGGACCTGTGTAAACACACACAACTATTGCCACACACAGACCTACAACACACACGCGCCGAAGTGGTCTGCAGTGCCCAGGATTTGCAGCGCACTTTCATTCTTCTCATCTTGTGCCAATAGGACATATTGTTTCACCAGCTGGGCTGTGCTGAGCAAGTAAATTAGAGTGAAACTGAGTGAATGTGGTAATTTTTACTGACTTGAAATACTCTTTAAACCCCAAATTATGCAGAGATGTATCACCATTTAGCTTCATCATCTTCAGAGAGCAGAAATTTACTGAGGTTTGATGAATATTTCTATCAAAGAGGATGGAGACGTTTTTGCTAGTTTTAAGATGTGGTGAAGTATAAGTGACCGTGCCACCACTTCTTTTTATATTTCCCTTTATGTGCGTACAGGTGAAGCTGTGGCGTTTGTGTGATCCAGAGCTGCAGCAGCCCGGCAGTCCGGAGCTGACCCTGCGTCCAAGTCAGGGCAGGCTGGAGCTGGTGCTTTTCCACCCCACCTCCTCTGGCCTGCTGGCTGTTGGCACCACCAAGTCCCCCCTGATTTGGGACACCAGCCGCCAGGACGCGCCACTAGCAGGTAGCTACAGCTGGCGTCATGAGCGGCACATGTGTTTGTTTGTGCGCACAGTTTATATTACAACACGCACCACAGCCCAAATTAATTTTTGTCAGAGTCTTTGTCGTACATCACACACTGTCTATTACATTTAACATTTCAATCTCTGTCAGTTAGTCTTGAGTTTTTGTTGTGGCCTGTTTTTGTTTCTATGTGCAACATGAATATATATATAATTGGAGTGGAGGAAAGTGGCTGGTTTCCTTTTTTTTTTTTTAATTGGGGACTGTCTCACTGACACTGCCTACGTTTTACAGCCCTGTGGCTCTGTCTATGTGCCGGAGCAGCAGAGGTAATGTTTTGGTTTGCAGTCCTGGTCCCAGTCTCCCCCGACTGGCCTCAGGATGTAGTCACTATCCTCTGGCCTCACCCCCCCCAACCACCACCTCCAAACACTGCGCCCCCACCTCCCCAAAATCCCATGACCAGCTGGCCTGGCTGCTGCTGCTGCTCACAGCTTTTTCATGCGCTGTACCCCGACACACTGGCTTTCATCACTCTCATTCCTCATTCATATGTGCTCGAGGAACAATGTCAGAATGACTGGGAAAAGAAAATCTAGATTTGAATGAGTGTGTGTTTTATGTCAAATCACTTTGTGTGTAAATGTCTTAACAAGTGAACCTCTCATCTTTTTTCATCTGTTTGGTGTCACAACGAGCTGTGCTGTGCTCAATTATGGCACTGCAGCCTGATACGTGTCATGCTCATACTTTCTCTCATATGCTTAAACTGTACAGACATATGATCCATTCTTTGGTGTAAATCATCCATACTTTGTACTATTGTGTGTTTTCTGAATTCCATATGCTTGATTTATGGCTTCGTCTCTCCCCTGCATTTGTCCCGCAGTGACCTCTCGGTTTTTTGCTGTTGTGGTCTTTGTCTTGTCTGTATATGTGTCATTCTGTGTTCATTCTGTGTAGCATCGCGTTTCCTCTGTTTCTGAACCTTTTCAACTTGTCCCTACATAACATGGACATTGTGTCTCTCGTCCTCTCCTTTTCTCAACCCCTCTAAACGATGTGTGTGTGTCTGCAGCTCTGGAGCAGCACAGTGACCAGCTGCAGAGTCTGAGCTGGAAACAGGACGGCTCCCTGCTGGCTTCCTCCTGCAAGGTAATGACAACTTGCAGTGTACCAGATATGTATCGCCTTGACCTGCATGGCTTCACCTTTATTTTAAAGCACGATAAAGCAAAAATATGTAATTTTATTCCCAAAACAACTTCATTCTTGTATGGCTTGAGGTGTGATTGCTGTAGTTTCAGTGTGTGACCACTAGATGCAGCCAGTGGTTCACATTCAGTGCATCATGCCTCACATTGAAACGCCGCTGCTCCTTATCTGTTTATATGGGGTTTGTTTAATACAAATGTCAACATGGATAATGCTCATAAATAGGGCGGGGATCACATCACACATTGGATTTGGAATTAGTGAACCGTTCTTTAGAGGGGAAAAAGAATAAACGTGGAAAGCTCTATGACGTCAAAGCTAATAGCCAGTTTGTTTTAATATGGTAATAGTGATGATAAAGAATAATTCTTGACCACAAGTTGATAAAGAGCCTGTGGAGAGTTTCCTTGTCAGACTGGAAACTGTATTAACTTGTTAATTAGAGCAGTAACAAGGGCTGTGTGCGAAGGATACATCTACTGGGGCTTTTGTTTTGTCTCAACCCCACCTGACCCCTGACCCTTCGTATCCACAGTACACACCCCTGTGTGCCCCTTTGAACCCTTCTGTCTTCTGGTGCTAGTTTAAGTCTAATTAGGAACTGACAACCACCAACTATGGTTATGAAGCATACAGGGCAGAGCTAAGAAGAAAGAAAATCTGCCTGAGTTTTAATGGATCCATATGGTCCTGTTCTCATCGCTGTAATCAGGAAATAATCACACAGCTTGAAGAGCTTTCCATTAGGTTGTTAATATTTTGTGTAGGAGGAAGGATTGGAGGTCGAATGGGTTTATGAGTAGAGGGCAGAGAAAGGAGGGTTTAATGAGCTGAGGTGGAATTGTTTCATAAATATATTTTATTTATAGGAAGAGCTAGAAGCATTTTCATCATTGGGGTCTAACATTCATTTGTTTCACCATTTAAACACCACAAGGAATTTCTCCATATATTTGCATCCTTTTTTGTGACATAGACTGATTGATGTGAAAAGGAGGCAGAGGGCCCTGGTGTAAATTTTTTTATCAGTGTGTTTTAAACTTTGTGGGTTATCACTCTGTAAACATTTATTTTTATTTACTAATGCCAAATGAAATTTTATAACCAACTATCACTCATGAAATATGAATTAACAAAATAATGTAAGAATTAATTTGAAAATTTCATCAAAGCAGCAGCACACCCATTTAAACCAGACAGGTCACACAATTAAAAATGAGGTAATGGAACTACAAAGTGTATAAGAAAAGTACTGTTATAGTAAATTAATCCATTTTTGTGTAGTTGTATATTGCATATTGTACGGTTGTCAAAAAATTCCTCTCTGACACAAAAATTGACCATATGTGCATACTTAGCAGGTATGATTGTCAGTCTAATCCCCATTGTTTGTCTTTGCTCTGACAGGTAACAAATTATTCCACCCATCACAGGCTACGTCCCAATCATGACATTTACCTTGACAGGATAATCATCCACACCAGAGCTACCAGCGTAGCCTGAAAGAACAAGGCACCTAAAAAAAGAAAGAGAGTAAGGGTAGGGGGTTGTGTGAGCCAAGATCAGAGTCGGGGGGCCTCACAGGTTCTTGCGCGGTTGGGCTCTGGTGTCATTTAACCCGAAAGGCCCCTTTCAATCTCTCCAATCCAACTTATTAAAGCAAATAGGGCCCTCCAACATGTGGGTCCAATCCTGGCCCTCCCATAGGGTAAACATTGGGGGCACAGGGCTGGGGGGCAAAGATGAAGGGAAGACCACCACCCCAAAGAGCAGGAATCATGACAGGCCTCGTTTGGACCTAGAGAGATGTATATTTATGACACACTTGCAGGGAGAAAGGCGCCATTGATTTTTGGGAAGGCAAATCCACAGGTAGTAGGAGCAGACAGGGAGGAAAAGCCTGTGTTTATCCAAATGACGGACGGGACAGGGTGGTACACTGTTTAGAAATGAGGTGTCACTGGATTTATTGTCCTGCGACTTTAACTTTATTGTCCCCGAGGGGAAATTTTTCTTTCAGCCAGGTAAAACATAGAACACACAGAGACGTAGGCACACAGACTCGGGGACTAAAAACATGATAAAATAGTCATCACAACAGAAATCCTAGAGGATGTTAGCCATCGCTAAAACTATCATCATCACCATAGTCCACCATTGAAAGTCACATCATAATGAGCTTCTCATGGTGAGTAGAGTGAGATAGATGAGGGGACCGTGCGGCCTCAAACCGCCAATCACAACAGTCTGCAATGCTGGTAACCGTGGGAGACTGGGAACAGGAGGCTGGCAGCGCAGTGTGTTTGTTGATGAGTCGAGAGAGAGAGCACCCCTGGTTGAAGATTCCCAGCATCCGTCTGCGTTTGCATACATGTGAAAGTTGTGTGCGGCCGACTCGCAGAGAAAACTCATTAACAGCAGCTTGAGAATGAGGCTCTGTCACTTTGATTAAACAGCTGCTGTCTCAGCAACAAACACAAACACAGAAATGCACACACGGTTCTCCTGGCCCTCCATCTGTGCATTTATGAGTTGAGGTGGTGTGTGTGTGTTTGTTATGGGTCATTGTTGTCGTAGGCTTAAGAGAGTGTGTGTGTGTGTGGTTGCTTGGTTGACACATCTGTACGTGAGTAGCTCCTCGCTTGTGTGTTTGCACAACAACACTTAGATTGATATTCCAGTGAGTAATTTGTAAAATTATGTATATACAGTAGATATGTGTGTATTTGGTTATTCTAAGGTCTCTTTGTAAGGGCAGGAAACATTAAAAAAAAGCATTGTATGTTCAGATGATAGTTGGCTAATAGAGCTGCATTGATTAGTTAATCAATGGGAAATTAACTGGCAACTATATAAAAAGCATTTCATGCTTTTCTTTGTCATACATGATAGTAAATTGACAGATTTGGGCATTTTCACAACAGGTGGGTTCTTATCCATAGGTAGTGGGTTCTGAAAGTGCGTGTGTGTGTGTGCGTGTGTGTGTATGTGTTTGTTGTTCTAGCACTGCTCCCTCAGCCTTTGGCTTAGGCCGAGGTCACAGAGGCCTGAAGACGTAGCCTTGGGGCATCATAATCGTGGGTGGGCTTCAGAAACACAGAGAGAGAGAGAGAGAGAGAGAGACCTCATAGGATAAAATGCTGTATTTATGTTGTTTATGGCTGAATGTTGCATAGTGAAACTTCTTAGTGTGTGCTTGACTGTGTCATCGTCAGCCTCCTGATTCCCTTTGACATGTATATGTGTATTAAGTGTGTGCGTGGTTTAGTCTAAGCCCTTATACTTATTACCTGCTATCAGCCCCGTATGCCTGCTGTGATCACAGTCACACAACGGTATTGAGTGACACGGCTAAAGACACGCATGTCCCGGTCACAGCCTGGTCCCATTAGGCCCCATTTCCTCTCAATCATGAAGGAGCCTCTCTGATTGGCTACTGTGATTGATGCCAAACGCATGTTTGGGCTGGCCATCGAGAGGTCACTGGATTGCATTTGCCGACGATGAATCAGAGTCAGATCGCACTGATAGATTAAGGAAACCTCAGAGAGCTTGTGTTATTCATTATCTGAATCATACTGAGGTGGAGGGACACTTTATTAATGTTTTTAATATGTAGCCTTCATTTTTCAGTTTTTAATTTCAATTTCTATGAAAGAAATTACAGCTTTAAGGGAGAACTTCAAATGTTGATCTTGCAAGTGTCATAATTCCTCATAAAAGCAAAATTCACAGTTAAACACATACCGAATTTATATGGACAGTAAGTTTTATTATGTTATCCACTTCATTTATATCATTGAGGGGAGGCTAACTAACAGAAACACCTGTACATCTGGCTGTATAAGGCAGTACAGTTCAACAGCACCACAAACTGCCTGCAGCCAAAATGATCATCAAGTTGAATCAACGGCTTTCTAAAACAAAAACTGAACATTATAACCTGCATGAATGTAGGATTTCTTGTAGGACAGTTGTATTAGACTGCATGCGTTTTAGCTGGGTGTACCTAATAAACTGGCAGCTGAGTGTAGTTTCCACTGAGGGTGAAACCATCGTGCCAACTAATCACCGTACAGAATCCTATTTAAAACAAACGGTTGTGTCATCCTATATCATGCATCATCATTTCCAAAATGAATTGTTTCCAGCTTTCTTTAGCACTACAGTAAAGTTCATCCTTTTTTTATTCTCTCTCATCTGTCTAGGACAAGATGCTGCGAGTGTTTGACCCCAGAGCACAGCTGACACCTGTTCAGGTAAGTCCCCTAATAAAGCCCTCAGCACCACACTGCCAAAACCCCTGGCAACTGTTTTCAGGAAACAGGGAAATCAAATGCAGCTATCGGCTTAGAAACCACTTTATTTAGTACAGACAGAACTTGTAACTATGTATAAGGAAAACGATGGAAAATTTTAATATGTCACTCCACTGCCATTTACTGTAAGTGTTTTTTTTCCCCCACTACATTTTAATAATAAACATGTTGACAGTAACCCATTTAGCTCACTACTGGCCACTCAGTGATTCATCTCCTATTGATTTATGGATGTGCTACAGAAGCTGGAGTCCCTGCTCTCCTCTTCCCAAGAGAAGAGCGTTGAGGGAGGATGAAGACGTATGGCAGGGGGGAGGTGGCGAGTGTTTGTGAGAGGCCAGTCAGCGTAGAGCAAATATTCTCACACTTTGCAGTGGTGGACCTCCCAGGGTGTTTTAATTACTGAGATGCTCGGTCTACCTCAGGCCGCCGGCTCTCTCATTTGTAAATATGAGGAATCCTGCAAAAACACTACATGCCGCAGCAGATTAAATATTACACCGCAGACATACCTGGAAGGCACATCACCCTGTATGGTAGTCAGGAGGAGGAAGACTGAATGTCTGTGTGTTCATGTGTTAGTAACTCAAACTTTGACACCATCTTGAAAGGCATACTGTCTCAGAAGTATGTGATGTCATTGACTCTGACAAGAGGGTGGGGGGGACAGGGGCAGCAGCGAAAAAGGTACATGAGGATTATTTTCTTTGTGGCACGCTTAGAAATGCGTGCCTTCACAATACAGAGTGCTAGTACAACGCATGTGTGTCTGTGTTTGCTTAAGTAACATGAGCTGATGCGGCTGGCTCCTCTCCAGCGTTTGAACCTGGATGTTTACATCAGGTGTGTCAGTGTTGAAGTCCCTTTTAACGCACTGCTTTTCAGCAGCCTGTTTGAATTTTCTCCATTGCGAGGGCTTTGTCTGTGTCATTCTTACCAGACATGCAATGCGGACATCAAGCTTTTCACAGCAGCCCTCTAGATCGCCCGAATTAATGCTGTTCCAGTTCCTCTGCCACTCCGCATGCTCTGTTTAACAAATTACTAGAAGTAATTCAAATAAAATTGCACTGATGTTGCATTTAAATCACGTTGTGCAGCCAAAGGGTCTCATTAGTTTAGATTGAATCAGTGTTGGGTAGAGTCTGTCTGTCTGAAACAGTGTCTCCAGTAAGAGCCCAGTGGTTACTGGTGGAGGGGATGTGCTGCTGGGACATTCCATTAGATACTTGACAGTGGTGAGCAACAGACTGTATGGGGGACAACGAGAGATGGGAAAAACATGTGACAAAGGTCTTAAGGCAGATTCAAATCCAGGAAAATGTTTAAGTTTCAGCTTTTTGGTACGTACTTAAGACGAACTCCTGTACTTATTAATTACTTGCTGACTACAATATTTAGGTATTTGTTTAATATTTGTTTATTTAAGTTCTACTTTATACCTTGTACTTCCACTTAACTACATTTCAGAGTGTAGTAATGTACTTTTTACTAAACAACATTCATCTGGTAGTTACTTTGCAGACTTTTACATAGAAATGTGACATGTGATTAGTTTGTATAATATGATGCATTGTTATAGAATTAACTACCCAAGAGTATGAAGTAGTTAATATTAGCTTTACCTCTACCTCTACCACAGTGATCCATCAGTAATAATAATCCAAGTATATATTTAATAATATAACAACGAGAGGGGCCATTCTATTACTTTTGATACTTTAAGTACATTATGCTTAATACGTACTTTTACTTAAGATTTTGTATGCGTAACAGAGTATTTTTACATTGTTGTATTTATACTTTAAAGTAAAGGATCTGAATATTTCTTCCACCACTGCAGGCCGTGAACTGGTACCAGGCCACAGAACATTTGCTACCAGCTATGGTGACATAATACGATTTGACAGTGTACATGTGTATATATAACTTTTGTTTGTGCTGCATTGTCCTTATAACTCTCCTAACAACAATTTTAATGAAAGTAGGTTAACTAGTCCAACATCCCCGCTATTTTAGCAATCAGCAGCAGCATATGAAGTCTATGTGAAGCTACTGCCTCGGTGTTGCTGAGAGATCCATGTGTATTCTTTTAATTTAGTAAGTAACCACAATGAAAGACAGGCCAAATACAGTTGTTTTTTGTTTAGTTTTAGTTTGTTGGCTCTTTTGTATGATCCCTTTTCTTTCTCTCTTTCCTTTTCTTCGTCATTTTTAAACTCGGACCACAAGAAGACCAATGGGAGACCTCCCAGCATGTCCGCAGCAAAATTGTAAATTTAAAAATGATCTGTGGTGTAAAAAAGATTGCTTTAGACCGCTGAGCCACCTCTGCCCTCTCTGTGTTCTCTCTTCTTCTTTTTTTCCAACTCTCTCATTAATCCTCCTGGTCTCACTGCCATGGAGAGGAGGACCAAAGAGCGAAGAGGCCTGAGTCAGCATGCTGTCCTCCTCTGCACATGGCTTCACCACCTCAAACCAAAGAAGAGTTAGGACCTGGATCAAAAGTTATTAGAGGGTTGCTCTTCCCTTTTTGGTTCAACTCTTGCTTTTTCTCTGCCTATCTCTCCCGAGGTCCTGCTTTGAGAGGCTTTGGAGCAAGCAGAGTGGGCAGTGACTCACCCTGACAGCTTTCAGATGTGCAACTCTCTCTCTCTCTCTCTCTCTCTCTCTCTCTCTCTCTCTCTCTCTCTCTCTCTTTCTCTCTCTATAGAATGGGAGATCCACTGGCACTCCTATTAACACCCCATCTGCTGCAGGATGGTTTAAAGGGTGCGGGCGATAAATCCTAAACACACTGAAACATGATGAGGCCAGTGATTTGGATGCATAGAAGAGTGTGAAGCTCTAATTTCCACACTGACCAGCAAAGCAATGTTAAACACCATAAACATAACATACAACACAACACACCACATTGTATCAGGTTACAAGGAGATGCCAGGGCCCAATGAAGCGCCATCACTTTTTCCAGTTTGTTGTTGTAGATGTGATGGCCAATCTGGCCACAAAGTAAACAGAGATGGGCAGAGAAGTGTCTAAGCTATTTGAAAGCTGTAACCTCACTTGGAGGTCTGTTTAGCTTCTTACAACAAGAGCCAGTCGTCCTCATCAAGAGAAGCCGCAAATCTTCTCTGAAAAGATTCCTAGGGAAGGATATCTCACGAAAGCTGCTTTGGTTTTTTTGGTTTGCATTTCCCTGCAATACAAGATTCAAGATTCAAGAACTTTATTTGCTGTTTGTGCTTGCACACATAGGAACTCTTGTGCGGTTATTTGTTCAAGAGTCAAATCAAGTTAAAAAGACACACAAGAAAGACACATAAATCTATAAAAACATATACTTCTCTAGAAATAAGAAAAGTGCAAACACAAACACCCAAAAGTGTTCTTTGTGCATCTAAAATGAGCCGATAAGAGACAAAAGGCACTGATTGAGTATGACCTGTGCTTTTGCATGTAATATGTAATATTCCATCAAATGTTGGTTTTACTTCCTGTATGGCCATTAGTGTCTATAACATATTCCAAAGTCATTGGTAAAGTTACAGTGATATTATTGGTGTGTACCAGTTCAGAAGCCAGATCCTCTGAAGTCAGCAGCCCAGTTTTGTCCAAATATGGAGGACACAACCAGTGTATCATTTGCACCCCTCATCCATTGTATCCAGGGTATGTCAATTGTTTGACTGATTGTTCTGGAAGTGCTTCTCGTAATTGCATTTAAGTGGCTTACAGCTGCTTTTAGATCTACTGCTTGAATTAGAACAAGTGACAGTTTAGTTAATCAGAACCAAATTAATGAAAATTGGTCCACTGTCTGCCAGTTCTCCATGATTTGTAGAAGCGAAGGATCGATTGAACTGTAAATTGTTGTTGGCTATTAGAACAGCCGATAAGCTTGGAAGTACAAGAACTGTACAAGCTGAGGAGGTACACCTCAGTGCACCATTCTTTGTTTTGTTTTAATCTTTGTGAGGCCTGTCTGTGGGCAGGAGGTGTACATACATGCCCCTCCCCCACATCCTTCTTAGGATCCAGCTCCCTGAGCTGGGACATAGCTCATGTTTGTCCACTTGTGTCCTGGTTCCACCCATGGCAGCATAGTCGAGTGGGGCTGGCTCATCCCTGTGGCCAACACTGAACTGGGTTCTCCCCTAGCCAGGTGGGGTAAATATAGGCCCTAATTACAGCCCTGTCCTCGCTGTATTTATGGGAAATAAGACTGCGTAGGGTAATTAAGGTCTTGGACAGGAGGAGCAGTATATACTGCATCTGTAATCAGAGCAAGGGTGTATGTATGTGCACGAGCATACAGACAGTTGTATTTAGGTAGTTGGCACACACAAGGAGAGTGCGTGTCCGTACATGTGGCATCCTTTCTCTCCCTGTCCCACCACTGAAGAGCAGATTAGATTGCTGTTTGTTTTTTTTTTATTTTGTTTTGTTGTCTGTTTTTCTGTATTACTTGACTTCTTCTTTTTCCACCTAAACAAAATTTTAGCTAATAGGTTGGAGGATGTATAAAACCTATCTCTTGACTTAATGCTTAATTAAGAAGGGAAAGGCGTGGGTCAAAAAAAGCATCTGTTGTGTGTCCGGTGAGTGAAACTGTGCTTAACATAGTGTTATTAAGTTGTCTTATTAGTGTGGCATAGCTTTTCAAACAATTAAAATGGACCCAAATCATATTTATGTTCAGATATAAATCATACAGTGTCAATAAATCAAAGTGGTGAATCGTAAAGCAACAAAGATAAACATTATATGTAACATTAAAGCACTGTGTTTTTCTCTCTTTGCTATTCTGGATTCTGCCCTCCTTGCCATAACATCCCTATACTGGCCTCTTGTTTTCAGATGAGTTTCTTTCACATCTCTATGTAGTTAGGCCTCCGCCCTGCGTTCCTTTGCTGGGCTACACAGCTCCTCAGATCTCA